CTGCACAGTACAGACCTGCAACCAAACCACCCCAGCACTGCCCAAGTCCTCGTGCGAGTTTAGCCCCGGGGGTCCCTTCTGGCCACAGCCCAAGGCACGGACTGAGCGGGACACCTCGGCTGTGCTTTCCAGCGCTCAGCACTGAATCCCACCCCCATTCAAATAAAGACGTGAACGCACCAGCTTACGACACAGGGGACGTCAGCAACTGTGCCATCTCAAAGGCAAATTATGCCAGCTCCCAAAAGTCACCTTTCCCAGCATTTGGCTTTTGGGGTCGTTCATTACCTATCTCTCCTTCCTCTGATTTTTGACTCCAGGCCTAAGCCGGCTGCTGCCGAGAAGTCCAGCCGATGCAGCCCTCTCCTCTGCACAAAAGCGTCCCTGCTGGCACCCACCGAGAACAGGCGGACGAGGCGCGACCCCAGCCAGCCCCCGCTGTCAGGCGGCGCCGCTGGGAAAAGCTTTCCAGAGGAAAGAGCACCAGTGAGGCCTCCCTAGGGAAGCCGGGGACAGCTAGCGAGACAGGCGGCGTCCCGCCTGGGCTCCTCTGCGCCCCCACAGCAACCAACACAGCGTCAAGGGCAGAGCAACGACGTATTTACCTGTAAAAACTAAGCTGGCGTTTTCCAGTTCTTCCTGTGGCACCTTGAAGCTGAAGGACTCGTTGTAGAAGGGATCGATGGTCCCCCTCATGCAGGAGGTTTTCTTGGTTTTTGTTAGTTTCAGCCCGTGAACAAGCTGGATTTTCACAAAGGGATCTGCCAAAACCACAAAACAGAGGCTCGGCGTTAGCGGTGTAGCGGGCCGATACCCGTTTCACAAAAGTTCGGCACAGCTGGGGCCACCGGAGTGGGGCGGCATCACGCTGGAAAATGGCATTTGGGAATGATTGGGGCTTTTACCGCAGCGCAGCTCCCAGCGATTTGCAGTGGAGCAAGACCAAAGTCAGGCAGCTGGATTAAAAACGCTCCCTGCCGAAGCCACGCACAGCACGATTAATGACAGCCTTGATAGAGGCCAAATACACTGTTCGCTTTGAAAAACGCCACAGACTGGCAGCAGCAGCGGCCAGAGCAAGGCGTGGAGGAAAAATACAGGACAACACTGGCATGGAGTAATTTCCAGGCAGCATGCTCCGAAGCGGTAGGCAGCAACGCATGGACATTGCAACAGTGCAATGCCATCCACAGAGCTGCTAGATACCATAGATGAAAGCACTGCAATATTAACGCTCACGCAGCGCTCGGCACCTGCGAAGCACAGCGCACCCCGAGCCAGGCCGCCTTGGCTACCGAAACGGACGCGGGACCGTTCCGAAGCTCCCAGCCTCGCGCTGGCTCAGCGTTTTTGACCAAGTATGAGGAAGGTATTTACACCCTGCTTTAGCTTAGGGTAGGCATTCTGAATACTTTCTTTATTGTCTGCTACACGTGCAAAACTTCACACATTACAAATATCCCAAAAATCTTGCGTCAACAGCAATTGGGCATCCAAAAGCCTCGGCTCCTCCACAAATTGGAGCCTCGCTGCCGATCAGCTTCAGAAGCACACGTACCTCAGCAACGTGAGAAATACCCTGCCCTTTACCTGAACCTTGGCTCATGTCTGTTTGAAGCAGCTGTTTGGCTCTAATGATGTCTACGTTCAGTCTTCCCGCGCTGGGTAGGTAGTTCAGCGACAACAGCAGCTCTCCCAACTCAACTTCATTCTACAGAGAAAAGGGAAGGCGGAAGCTCAGAACAAAGCCCAGAGGGGAAGGGAAGAGCAGGAAGAGAAAACAAAATAAATCCCATTTGTCTAAGCGCCTGAACAACAATTTTTAGTCACACTCTAAGCTGTAACCACGAACCATTTGGTGGTACCTTGTACCGAGGAGACACAAGAAAGAAAACTATCCCTAGATGAAGATCTGTTCTTTTAATCTCTGACTATTCACTAGGTTTTAAACAGCTGTTGCAAACAAGACCTATAAGAAGGAGTGAATACAAGGTCTGCAGTTTCCACGTCCTTCACTTTGAGTGGTTCCAAGTGATTCTAATCTTACCCACCTGACGTCCCCGTGAAGCTACAAAACATGTACCCTATCTGAGGAGGCGTCCTCTTTCCATCCTCGTGCTCCTGGCCACCAGGAAGGCAAGACCTAACACCGTGGGTCACACGAGGGAGTTCAGAGGATGCTTTCCCAGGGGTTGCAGCATGGCGCGCTGCTGTGAGCCAGCCTCATCTGTGCCCTTGCTCTTCAGTGGGCTGTATCAGGGCCATAGCTTCACTTAAATATAGCTGTTCAGCCAGTACTTACTTTCTCCTTTACTTAACGATGCTTAAAACCACTATCTAAAAAAATAAATGGCTGGAGAACTGGCGTCACTACCTGCTCCACAGATGTGACAGCTCAAAATAACCTCTCCCCCTCAGCCTGACCCCGTTCTGCAACGCAATTAGCCGGAGATGCAACGCGTGCGTGGCTCTGTAGATGCAAACGCCCAAGGCCAGCAGTGCTGGGCATCGCCCTGCCTTCCCAGCCCCAACCTATGGAGGAGTCCAGACCTGGCTCTTCATCCCACCAGGAGGACAGCTCAAAGCCAAGCCTAGGTCTGACCTTTGCAGCCTATTCACAGAAGAAAAAGGAACTGCTGTGGCTTTGCAATCAGAACAGAAGGCTTAAATATCCAAAATATTAGTGACAGAAACTGGATTGGTAACGACTGAGTAGACAACAAAGACAAAAGCTATGAAAAACAGTCCAACCCAAACTGGCTAAAAGAACCAAATAAATCAGCAGAGAGGACAGTATGTGAACTCTCCGTCCCAGGCAAAGCTGGGAACGGCTCTGGGAAAACTGGGGTTCCCGTGAAACCAAACCTGTTTGTAACTATTAACCATGCAAAGAGGGCTTTTTCCACTGAGGTGTGAGCTCACGTGAACTGAGGGCACGGAGGTCTGGAAGCAGCTGTGCACACAAGAAAAGGCTCTCCAGACCCACCAGGTCCAAACTCAGCACCGGCGCCTCTTGCCTGCAGAAGGAAAAACCGTGGGACCACCGGCCTCCTCCACCGCCTGGCAGAAAGGCGCACGAATGCCTCTCCTCTGACCGCAGGCCGGTTGACTCCTCGCCTAACGAGCCGAGCGCTACCGCTGACGTCAGGTAATTATATTACAAGCTCTCCCCGAGGCATTTCCTCTCCTCTCCCGCTCCTGGTGACTACGGCGGCGCAGGCTGCGCTCGGCACCCGGGACAGCTGGCAGACCAAGGCAGGCTTGGCCCCTCGTGTGCAATTCAATACTGCTCAATTTAATTCAACGCTTTTTTTTTTTTTTTAATTGCTTTCTATGGAAAATATGCCCATAAGCTGCCTGATTCCACAACAAAGGTTTCTGCGTTTTAAGCTGCGCTGTCCCCCTGCCGCTTACGCAGGCAAAGGAAGAGGGGACACCTTGTGAGAAGCCGGGGTGATGGCTGCCGGTAGAGCGACGCTCGGTCTCAGCCCCTGGACAACAAACCTATGGCTGTGCTGCAGATCACAGCCAGCCTCGGGAGCCCACTCCAGCGGCTGCAACGTCCTATCGGCACTGTCGGGTCCAAACTGGACTGCCTCGCTGCCCGGCGGCTTTTTGACAGCCCTCTCCCTCGCCCAGTAAAAAGGACCTGATCCCAAACTCGTCCCACGTAGTACCTCTTGGGTCGCGTTATGTGGCAGTGTGTGTTTACACAGCGCGTACGCTTTCTTCTGTTGCTCCAATGTTCTCGTTTTCCCTCGAAAGCATCCCTCAACCTCCGCGAATCGCCGTATCAGAGCTCCACTCAATACGCTGCCTTTGAAATTCTTCCCCTCAGAAAGCTTCGCTCCGGCACAGGCCTGACCCAACATGCACGCAACGCTCAAGCCTCTTGTAAGGTCAAGCCAACTGCTGTGCCCAACTTTTGCACAAAACAGGGATCCAAGAGAGTATTAAATCCGAGGCAATTAAAATGATCAATTTTACTGTCTTCGATTCCATTTTCTCCAAAACTGCTCCTCACGGGTCCACGTACCGCAGGGCTGGCAAAGCCAGAAGGCACCTGTGTCACCAAGAGCAGTTAACGCCTCTGTCAGCAGGGCAATGCCCCATTAGCTCTGCAAACGCTGCCCAGAGCCCTGTTTAAACGTGGGGTAGAAAATTGGGATGCAAGGTGCAAACTTGATTGTTGCCGGCCTTGGGGTGAGCAGGTGCCTGGTTTCCCACGGCCACCCAGGTGGAGCGGCTCGGTGCTGCCCTGGCCTCACCTCCACATGCCGACTCCGTATGGGGACGCACGGGCGCCATTTCACGACCCCCGAGGGATTTAGCTGCGGCAGGTAACAGGGTTACCAGCCCCACGGTGGTGGGTCGAGAGCTGTCACGGCTGCTGACCACCCGGCACACAGATGCATCTGAAATCAGCGGTGTTTCACGCCGGCGTGCCGGGGTGCGAAACGCACGGCTCCGGGGGAACGCGTAGATGGTTACGCCAGAAGCCCGCAGAGGGCAGAGCACCCCGGCACCACCGCTCGCCGTCTCTGATGGCATCCTCCCGACGGCGGCCACCCAGCGCACCCACTCGTCCCTCCCCTCTGGATACGGCCAACATCAAATCCCAAGGGCTGAACTCAGAGCTCACGTAGGGGCAACTCCGTTACCCGCACCGTAACGAGGTACTGCACTCCGCGGTGATACACAAACAGTCTGTCTGAGGAATCCTTCCACCACAGCTCATTTTTTATACCATACCAACAGCATTTTTAATCTATCCACTGTTATTTTTCACCTGCATTCGCTGCGGTGTTGGGTTCCAGGCAGACTAATTCCTAGAAACCCAGGTACAATTGGGCAGCACAAAAGAGGAAACTAATCAGTAACATCATTACCAGCTGGGAAGATGCAACCAAACAATTTGCGCTGTAAACCCCAAACCGCCGCTACAGACAGGAGGCAGACCGACGCTCAACAGGGACGTAAGAAGCTTCAAGCCACCTCTGACTTAGGAATGCTGAAAACCTGCATCAGGATCTGGGGTGATCACTTGTGGATCCACCTGGTTGGTGGAAGCTGCTGACTCCAGCCCAGACCTACAGGAGTTGAGGGCTCCCCGGCCAGACGACGCTCCTCGGAGCAGGGAGGCTGATGCCGGGGGTTTCCGAGGAGGAAAGATGAGGAACTGAGCAGGGCCCTCACCGGAGGGTCCGTGCCGCCGAGAGCGGGTTAGTGCCCCCGTGACCCGGGGACGTTGGCAGCTCTGGAAGAGCCTTTTGGAATATTTGGTTTAAACACGGCTAAGGTGAGCTATAAAACACCGTACTCTGATCCACCAGAGCTGACAGCACGACAACCACAGGCTGCAGCGAGTCTCCCATCGGGCCTCGTTTCCCAGCTCCCCCCTTCTGCCTCTTGCCGCTGCTAAAGCGTGGCTGTATTTCTGTTAATTATCTTAAAGGAAGTAACGCACAATCCAGCCCACAAGGACCACGTCAGGGTGGATTTGCTCAAAATCGGCAAGAAAGCGACGGCGTCGTTTTCAGCGA